ATTTTTGGGGTTTTTCCATTTAAAATGAAGTGAATAATTTTCCCCTACTTGTGGAGGAAGTGTTTATTCTGGTTTTGTATAGAGGTTTTGGAGGCTTTGCTGGTTGGTCTGGGGATAAGGACAGGTGAGTCCTTCCTACTGTTTTCATTCTGTGACTCATTGAGCAGTCCAGTGAGGCCATGCACAGAGTGGCTGAGCTCAGAGTTGTGGTCACGGCCATTCCACAACCACACAGCATCAGCTTTCACCTCACAGTGGCTTCACCCCTGCCCTGAAAAGTGGTTTGTGTTTTGTGGGGCACGTGCCTATTAGATAGTGCTGAGTAAAGGTCTGTGTTCTCCTCACTTTAACTTCCTTGGAGAACTTCCTCATGAGGTAGATGTTAGAGCTGTAATATCGTAAGCATGTGAGAGGCTGCCTGAGTTCTGTTACTCAGATTATGGCCTTGAGCTGCACTCTGCTTGGTCCTAGCAGATGCTGTGATGCCTTTTAGTTTCTGCTCACCTCAGCCATACCCATGTTCTCTATACCAAGCTCTCCTATACAGGACAGAGTCAGCATGTGCACAGGCTATTTGAAACACAAGACACGTGAGCTCTAACAAACAAGGTAAAAAGCGATGTTTTTCACATATTAGAAATAGGAAGAGATGAAGGTGCTGTCAGTGGATGGCCTGGACTGCTGTGTCAGACATGAGGTATTGGGGTCAGCACATGTGTGAAACCTGCTTGCAGAAGCAAAGGCAAAATCCAGATTGTAGTGGTTCCTATTGGAGTTGAGACCTCAGAGAGGCTACTGCACTGCTGTTCCCATTATTTTTAGGGGAGCTGGAGGAAGCTGTGGGGACAAAAGATACCTGGTCAGTCATCTGTCCATAAGGTGCAAAGATAGCCAGTCCCAAACTGGGCCGCGGCAAGAGGGGAAAAAAAGGAGAAGCAAAAATAGGGAAGGGAGAAAGGCCACCCTTCCTCCCCAAATTGGGGGTGGCGGGTAGCTGAGCAACAGAAACCTGTCAAGATAGTAACTAATAACAATTAATAATTTATTGTACATCAAATAGCTCTTTTCCTCATGGTTTCCAAAAGCTCTTTACAGACTATATATAGCGACTGCATTACAGTGTGGTATGCACTTTTCAGCAGCATGGTTTAGGAACAGCCCTGCTGCTGAGGCACAATGGAGCCTGGTCAGCCCAAAAGAACGCTGGCAAAAGGTTTGCACCCCCTCAGTCCTGCCTGCGCATTTCACTGAAGAAAAATGTGCACGGGAGCAATCACTTCGAGGCGTGGGGAGAAGGCAGAGCACTGTACAGGCGTTATTTCTTCCTGTCTATTAAGCCAGGCTGTCCCAATGAATTCAGTTGCATAGACCTTGAGAGAAGAAGGATGGGGGTTGGAGAAAAACAAATGCACTTTAGAAAGCCTATGATAATGACTTAAAATTGCTTTTCCTTATAATTGCATTTTTTAAGAGCTGACATTTAGTGATAAGCCAAGTGCTAGATACTGATGGCTCATAGAACATGGGGTCTTAAATAATGACTATTACATACTAATTCTTGCCTATCTTTGGACCAGCTCAGTGCAGAAAGGAGGTGCTGCTGCTCGTGAGGCAGCTGGGGGAGGGTGAAACAGTGGGACCTGCAAAGTTGAGCACCCTAAAAGAGCAAGTCAGCTGGCAGGCATGCTGCCACGTAATGTGCCCTTCTCCTGTGGCATCTGGATCTGCTCATCTTTGTCCCAAAATGATGCCTCCAGGAGGGAGAGCAAGCAGCAGGCATCCGAAGGGCAGAGCTCAGCACTACAGGACAGGAGGTGAAGAAGCATGTACCTCACCGAGAGGACTGCAGGGAGTATAATGCTAGTAAGAAAGCAATTAAAAGAGCTGAGCAAACAAGTAATAAATAATGTAGTGAGAGCTGGTGTAATAAACCTCCTTAGGAGAGCAGGCCCATAGGCCAGCCTCAAGTTCCCTGAACCTGGGAAGGAGAAACCCCACCTCCTACAACCACCCTGTGCATAAAGACACTTTAGAGGAGCAATTAGGGAAGGAGGTGCTTACTTGGTTGCTCTTAGATCATCTGCTGTTAAGTTTAGGAGGTGGTGGGAAAACCCCAGTGGACTGACTGAGGCTGCTTTTTTGTAAATGAAAGCTTACTTATGTAAATGTGTTTAAGAGGTGCCTTTCAGTGAAACTGTTTGCTACATTTCCTGCAAAGAGCTAATGGAAACCCTCCCCTTAGAGATGATGCTGTTAAGGCTGCATTATAGATTTCACCTGTGGATGCCTGAAACTCAGGTGACCAGCTGCAGAGATGATTTGCTAGGGCTATGGCCCTGCTTTTCTGTTGATGGATACAAATGCTGAATTGTTAGCAGACCTCCCATTTCCTGCTTGTTTTATTAGGCCTTGATAGACAGGTAGTGCTTTGAATGCATTTTGAGTTGTATTTCTTGTCAAAGACAGTTGCAATTCTGTGGTCTTGTGATTTTCTTGTTTTCCCTTTCCTGCCTGTCCTTAGACTTGCAATTATGAAGTAATTCCATTCATATGAAGGGCCTGACTTGCACATGGAGCCTTCAGTTACCATTAGCAATAAACGGTCCCCACAGCTCTGTGCCAAGAGGGGTAAAAATGAACTGCTGGGTGGAAAGAGGTTCCTGAAAAAAATGGCTTGGCTTGTAAACCTTGCCTACACTGCTGTGTGTGTGTAAATTTGAACTCCAGGCTGCAGTTCTTGAATGCTGCTCTCACAGCAGCCTTGAGATTTTGGGAAGAGTGGATGTTTTTTTTTCCTATGTTCTTGAGCATCACGCAGCCAGCTGGAGTTGTTTGATCCAACCTTCCCTGGCAGGCCTTCGGAAGGGATACCAGACATTGCTGGGTGTTGGAAGGGAGGCTCTGGGTTGCTGCAGTGAGGTAAAACAGAAGCTTCTGCTTGATCCAGGTAGTGAAAAGGATGGCAGAGAACCAGCTTGCTCCCAGGACAGCCTTCTCCTGGACCACTTCCACCAGCTCTGTGCCTTTGAGGAGCTGCTGTGGGGAATTGGGCAGTCTCTTCTTCCCATGTTTCCCCAGTTAATTATTTCTTTCTTATCTACACACGTTCAAGCAGATTAAAACTCTCTGCTTGACTGTACACAGTGCTATATTTTGCCATGCAGACAAAAAACAAAACATAGTTCACACATGAAGGGTGCCTTTTTGCTAGCAATGGGCACGCCATTAGACTTTTTCATTGTTCTGATACCTCCCCAAAAATACTGATAGCTCCTAACATATGATGTCAGTGGGATATGCAGGTGAGTCTAGAGTTTGTCTGTCCCTACCCTCACTGAATTTCCTCTGTTCACAATCTTGATCTTTCTGTGGGGCTAGAATCTGTTTCTGGGTGAATTCATCCCTTGGTGGAGGCAGTGGAGCAAGGTGAAGGGTGAAGTCCCTTTTTCTCTATCCCTTAGGTGGTGGTCTTCTCTTCCACTGCATGGCAGCCTTCCTCACTCATCTGTAACCTGCAAACCCCCCATTGAAGTATCTCTTGTGGTAACTGCTGCCTGCTCCAGCACTTTCCTGGAGAAAGGAACAGTTTTCAGAGGAGTGAAATATCAGCACTTCATCACTGGTGGAGCTGAGTCTCCATAGCATGGGGAGAGAGGAAGGGAACCAGGCAGACAAGAAGGAGGATGTGTTTCAGTGGGGAAGGCAGTCTAGCATTCTGGCTATTGGTTTCATTCTCAATGTATCTCTCCTTGGCCCCTAGGATTATTTTTTTTTGTTTTGTTTTTAACAGAAGGATCTGCCCCTGCTTCAGTACACCCGTGCCTTCCTGCCACTGTCCTATACCAACCCTGCCTGGCATGCGGTTTGACAGTTGCCTATGGCTTATAATTCATGTGCATACTTGAGGTCAAACAAGCATTTTCTTACTCAAAGAGTGGCAATTACAAACTTCTGAGTGTTTGACATTGTAGCTTTGAGCAATTCGTTAACAAATGTCTTCCTATCTCTTTAACACTCTACATCCAAGCTGAGTTTGTTTTCCCACTCCAGGTCTCAGAACCTTTCCTTGTGTCTTTTCTTGCCCTTTCCCAGCTAGGGCTCCTAGAACTAATCTGTGCCTTTTGCCACCTACTGATTTGTTGCTTCTCATCTATTATTAGCCCTTGCCACTCTTGCTGCTACCTAAATCTGGCAGCTAATTATTCAGCATACAGGTGTCTCTTCACTAAGGAAACCAGACCTGCATGTCTCAGGAGTCCAAGGTGAACAGTGATATCTACGTGGAGTTGTCTCTTTGAAGGTGAAACCTCCAAATTACATTGCCACTACATCTAACTCAACTGTTCACATGCAATGTGTGGATTACTATTTCATAAGCTTCAGTCATGCAAGTTCATGCACTTTTTTCTTGGCCGTATAAATGGCACGTTTCTGGCATGAAGCCCAAATTTCATGTTCTTGCTCCCCATTTGGGACCCCAGGTGTATTTCCAGAGGTTGCAGGGGTACCAGCTTTTTCCTTGTATTTCTCTCGAGCAGTAGCTGCACTCTTGCAGATAAAATGTAAGGGGGAAAAAAAAAGACAAAAACCAAATACAACATACACTGGCGATACCTGCTCAGACAATTCACATCTGGAAATGTTCTACAAAACTGAAGAAATGATGTATCAGATACAACATGTGTAGGCCTACCTGTAACAATGAATTTTATTATTTTCATTTTGAACATTTGCTTGTACAAGAGGCTTTGGGACAGCTGCTGTCCTGGAAGTAGAGGATCCCAAACCCTTTGGGATCCTTCTGGCCCATTGTTCTCCTGACAGAAGCATCCTGAGTTTCTGTAGTGGGAGAGAGGTAAGGTACGGAGAAGGAGAGAGGAAATAGTGTTTGGGGGGAGGGGGAGTGCTGGGTGGAAAACGTTCATTCAGAGATCTCAGTCGCACTGTTTCAGCCTCATCTTTGCTTTGAATCCCTGGCTTTTCTCTTCGTGTCTCCACAGAGACTGCTGCTGCCTCCCCCATTCCTCCCACTGCTCCCTGGGGCTGAGTGGGGCATGAGGATGAAGCAGCGCCTCAGGCTCTCTGCGTGGACCAGTCTCTTCTCCTTTGTGCCTGCTCCTCGCAGCTACCCTGCCTGCTCTCTCCAGAGGTTTGTTGCCTTCACACACTCCTTTTACACAGCCCCAGGCAGGGCACAGGCAGGAAGGGCCCCAAAAGATGTCAGTGAAAGGAAGGGAGGGAGATGGGGAAAGAGGTAAGAGGCAGAGGGGGCTCTGAGGAGAAAGGATCATTGCCTCTGATCTGTTATGAAATCTCTTGGGAGACAGCCAGTTAGGCTGGGAAGTGAGTGATAGCCAAACCAGATGAAGAATTGTTCTGTGTCCCTGATGTATTTTATCCTCGACAGGGATTTAGTTTCTTTAACTATCAAACTAACTATTTCTCATATATATATTATATAAGCTGTGAAAGATAAAGCACACACAGCATCAATCATATCTCGTCACAATCTCTTTGCCTCTTTCCTTCCTTTTTTCTTTAAATCTTCTCTTTTCTTAAATTCTACTCAAAACATGGCTATTGTTATTAGGAGTCAAACACAATGTAATTGAAAGGCCATTTGACAATTCAGGGGAAAAACAAAGTGAAAGGACAGGCTGTGGTATTGGTTTGGAGGTGGATATTGAAAAGAAGTGAGCACTGGTATGTGTGTGTCCTTTTTTCTTTTTCCATCAGTTGAGAGAACTCCTTCCATATAAAATGGGTTTTGTCTGGGTTCCTCAGAAATCCAGCACAGAGGTGGCATACCAACAGCTCTTTGGGGTTACAATAACTAATAATTCCCCAAGAAACCATCTTCATCTTTGAAGATCCATTGTGACATGACACCTGCACCCACAGACAGGAAGATATGTTGTGTGTCAGACCCTACCAGCTGGACTGAGTTGAGTCTTTGGAGAAAGTTGTGGATGAAAAGAACCTCTGCATGTTCAAACATCTTGTCAGATCCCCACATTTACAGGTCTGTGTTCACCTACCTGTACCAGACTGCCCCACATCCAAACAAGGCTACATGGTCTTGATGTGATTTTTCCTTAGCCCTGACTCTCCCAAGGCTTACCTCATAAGAGGAAGTGGTAAGAGCTCTCTTTATTAATGTTACTGTCTTTTTGGCACACAGATTAAAGAAAGAAGAGAATAATAATAATAAAAAAAAGCAGTGAGTGGTGGATAAATTTATCTCTAAATACATTTGTATTTGCTGCTTAAAAGGTATCCCCATATGCAGCATATGCAACACATGATGCACCCATGGTGTAATTCTCTATCACCTTGAAAAAATGGCATCTAAATTATAGGTTTGGGGTTCAATATGGTACTTCTAATGTGGTAAGATCAAAAAAATACAGCCCCATGCAATTTTGGGATTTCATTTTCAGAGATGTTGAGTATCCAGTGTACCATCTAAAATCAGCAAGAATGATGATGCCCGGAATACCAGGCAGGCCCTTGTATTTTTTCTTTTCCGATTTCACCTTAAATTAACCAGACATTTTTTTCTGTGCTTCTTAACTCAGCCTTTTATTATGTTTGATAGAGTGAAAGAATGTTTTTTTCCTCCCCTTGTATCTTGCACAATGGAGAACATAATGCCTTTGCTTTGAAGTCTTTGCTGTTATCCTGCCTATAAAGTCAGGACTCTCTTTTGGTTTCCAGTTTAATTAAATGTGTCTACATTGAACAAGAAAGCTGTCATAGAGATCCTGAGATGGTCCATTCCTCTTATGATAGCACACAGCCTCTGACCAGTTTAAAGTAAGTTCACCTTGTACTAGTGCGTGCTGGATCTTGTAGCATGTATAGCATTTTTTATTAGCAGGGATGGTGAGGAAGGATTGTGGTTGTTTTCTAAGCAAAGGTCTTTTGCTATCAGTCTGAAGTGAGTGCTACATTAGTACAGCAACTCTTTTGGCTTCCTGTCTACCCGACAAGAACCAAAGACCTTAACCAGCCTTAGCTGAAGGTGTTCCTTCGCAGTCAAATCTTGCAATTAATAGTGCAGCATACCTGGGACTGTCTGGGCTAGGTGTTCTTTGAAATGATGTGGCTGTAGCATTGTAAATAGAATAGGGAAGACTGAAGTCTTCTAAATAACAGGCTGTTACAATGGTTTTCCTCATTCACTTAGTTTAGAGCAGCCACATGTCTCCAGTATCTTCCAACTGAGTGTTTTCCTTGGCTACTCACTGGGCAGTGTCTAAGTGGCGTAAAAAAGCAAATGACCTGGAAGCACACTAGATCATCAAAAAGTGGGTGGTAAAGCCACTTGATGTTTAATTCTGAATAAAATATTTGCCTTACTAGAAAACTGTGGGTTTGTTCCATTCAAATCTTGCATTATGCATGTGGAGCAGCACAAGAAATCACCGGTGCTCCACTTGGCAGCCATTTGCTGGTGGATACTTTTTTCAAGGACATGAATGATACTTGTCAATAGAGCTGCCATGAATTTAATTTTAGCCCACAGTTTATCTACTAGCATTGCATATTCTTCTTAATAATTTGCATGGTTTGCTAAATCTTAGTTTTTCTGTCTTTGTAGTTAGAAATGGGCCTAATTAGCCACATTCAGAGGTGGACCTTCAGTGCTCAATAGTAGGATACCAAAGATGGCTTACAGCCATTTATTTCATCCCAACCACTTGAAAATGACTGTCACATAATCTCTCTTAAAGAGCTTGTTGTAACATTTTGGGAATTACGACTTGGATCCAATGCATGAGACAGCCTTCATCAGTTCCCCATCTGTAGGAGCACTGAAAGAAAGACTTAACATAACTAGAGCAATTACCTTTGCCCTGAGAAACATGGCTAATTTGTAAGTGACTTTTTACAGCTTTCTGTTGCTAATTGTGTATTTGTTAGGATGCCAAGCCTGGCATAGACTGAATACACGAACTCCTCTTACTTGGGGTAAACTGTCCCGTGTGTGCCATGCCAGGCAAGAAAACCAGTCATCAGTACTATGCCAGCTGATAGGTCTGTGATATTTATGATGATAGAGTGCTGACAAGGACCTTGTTTCTGCAATTTTCTGTTGCCATGAGATCTTGCTTTGGAAGCACAAAGAGAACAGTTGGTCCATACCATTTTATCCAGTATAAGCATAAAGCTTCATGCATAAATGTCTTGCTATGTTGTGCTTCCCAGGCAGCAAGGCCATAATGAGTTTCCACTTGCACAAAGTCTTTGATTCACAAACAACAGGCGATTAATTACCATCAGTCATTGTAAAGAGGATAATGGTATCACTCACATGTTGATATCACATTCTTACTGGTAACTTTCATTTAAAACACTAGAGTATGCCAGTGGTGATATATAGATGACTTTGCTACTCACAGTTTGAAAATATTAGACTTGGCAAACACATTGCAGCTTTTACAAGTGCTTGGCTTCTTCAGATGAGGACTTACCCTCAAATGTGCCCAGTCAGCATCAGGCAGGTCCTATTTAGGGGTAAAATTTGAATATGGATCAGCATCTTCGAAAGAATTACCTGCTTATTTTGAAACTTAGCTGGATGCCAAGTTCTTCTGAAAACCTGGCTCAGAATGCCCTTGACTTTGCTTCAGTCTAGTTGGATATGATGTCCGAGGAGAGGAGCTCTTCCATATTCCACAGTTGTTATATGCCTTTGAATATCACTTTGACAGTGCCCTGTAGTTTTCCTTTTGTCTGTCTAGCACTACTGAAAGCCCACATTCAGTCAGTTTGGGTTTGCTTTGGAAATACTGAAAAAAGGTTGTGAGCAGCATGGAGGCCTTCGATCTTGTTATAAATTCTGAAGAACTGTACTTGTGAGCCTGTTAGCCCATGTCTTCACCACACTTGTCCAGCTTCATGGTGTGTTTTCACCAGAACCCTTGTCAGCTGCTGCAGTATAAAATCTGTATAGTGACAAGAGTGTGTGTCACAGGAAATGGACCCAAGATGATCTCTTCAGTTCCTTTCCAGCCCTGTTTGCCATGATTCTTCTATGAATCCAGCTCCAGGAAACTTGCCAAGCACTGACTGGACAGCTAGTGATCTTATATATGCCATGACCTCCTTCTGGTTCTCATCCCAGCTGGCAAGGAATAACCCATTTCTGTATTAAGCTCTCTCAACCTTCAGAATAGGTACCAACAGCCAAACTGCCAATGGGGGAAAGTCCCTGGACACTATGAGTGTGCCCAAGAATTGTTTTAGGAGAGTGTTGCTTGGACTCGGTCCAAACCATGCATGAAATTGCTCTAACAATTGAAAAATACAGGTTATGAGGTTCAAGTGCCTGGGAATGTTTCCTGACACTGTTATTTATTCAAATAGATGAAGCCATGGTGTTCACATACCTTCTGATGTTGCCCTTGTGTTTATGGAAACCCTTCAAGCAGAATGAGGTCTCTCTTATAATGATTTACTTCATCACATGTGAAGCGTGGTCACTACTTAGTGTATTACATTCAGATTCTCATTTAGCTCCTTAACTTCTTTAGCTGCTATTTTTTTCATTGGCACAGCAATATCAACTGCTTTCTGAAAGGTCAGGGCTTTTTCAGACAACAGTATCATTTGGATGCTTTCCTTATGTAACTGATATACTGGCCAGTCCTTTTAATGAATACTTAAATTTACTCAAAGATCATAAACCTTGGTGAGCATCTTCAGTTTGGGTACATAATGACCACCATATTCAGTGGGATTTTGATCACAGTTATTAAATCAAAATCTCTCCATGCTAATGAGCAGTTTAGGACTGAGGCTCCCATAGCATCACCACAGTCTCAGGCAATGCAGTCATGTGCCTTTCACTTGTAATATAATCTGCAATATAACAGAGTTTGTTTTTAGTGCAATAACTTTCCCCTCTGCTCTTTGTTTTCATTACCTTCTGTCACGTGGCCCGCTGTTGCCATAATCGTAGTTACTGAAAAGGCTGTTAATGACAAACAAAAGATGGGGAAAAAATCACTTATTTCCAAGATGCTATTTTGTCTGATGGTTTTGCAATGCATTTTCTCTGTGCCTGAATCAAGAGGCTGAGGAGAATAAATAAACTTAATCATAGTAGGGTCTGTAGTTATTAGAAAATTAACCCCATTTATTCCCCATAATGCCCCCAGAGTAGCACTATGTTCTCCAACCTTTGCATTATGTGGATCCAGGTGAGCACACAAAAAGTGATTAAGAAAAGCTTATTTCAGGAAGCTAAGACTTGCACTACTAGGTTCTACAACTTCATTGTGAAACTTGGTGGAAACCTTTAGGTACCACAGAACTGAGCAGGTCGAAAACCACTTTTTGATAGTTGACAGTAATTATCAAGCAGACAAGCCCCCCAGGCCCAAAGAGTTTTACCTCAGATCTCATCTTCTTGTGTCTGGAGCTAGAATTGAGAGAGAGGCCCATCATGGTTTTCAACAGTATTGGTCCAATTAGTTTAATGAAGAACTTAATAGTTTGCTTTACTGTTGAATCAAAGGATCGGTATCTGGATTATTTTTTCTTTTAGTGGTGGAAAAAAAAAGCTTGAAGGGTTTTTTCTGGTGGGATTTTTATAACCACCATGGAGATGAATGGTCAAGTGCCATGGAGCATTATGCTGATCAAACTCTGTTTCCAAGGAAACTCAGGATGGAGTTTCTAGAAGCTCTTTATGGAAAACGGCAAAGCTACAGGCTGTGTCAGAAGGAAAGTCCCAGGTTAGGCACGTGAGTCAGATGAAGGACTGCGTGCATCACCTTAAATCAAGGAGTTACAAGTAAACAACGAAGCGGGGAGCATCTTGTGTTTGGTGTTTTGGGCCAAGCTGTGGAGAGGGAACAGATATTTGTAGCCCAGGCTAGAAAGAGTTAAGTTACTGTCCCTTAATTTTCTGGAGCAAGAATTTGCAAAGTGATGTGAGTCACTTCAGAAGAGTGAAGATGCATGGGGAACCGCTGCTGTCAGTACGGAGACAGCCTCTGAACGCTGCTCCTGAGAGCTGGGCATGCAGCCTCTGTGGAGGGTGGTACTCGACAGCACTGCTTGTGGACGCTGGCCAAGAGAGTGAAAAGCTGATTTAGCTGTATATTTGACTGTGTGGGCTACTGAAGGACAGAATTCAGCATTGTTTAAGGGAAGGCTGGGAAAAGGTTAGGCAGGATGTTTGTTGTTGCTGCT